CTAAACGAATGCAGAAATAGAATTCTACGCCATCTTCTAAAATTAGACTGGTACTAATGGGCACCATAAAGAAAGTATCATGTATATGTAATTCCTTTATGCTCCTTCTCCTTTTTCATAATCTTGAAGTGGACGCCAACATACAGTTCAGTTTAATTGAAATACGAACCCACAGATACACTGGCCGTTGAATTCAGTCAGAAATTAGCGTGTGTCCCTATCTGACCTGACCTTACCACTGCAATTCAGGGAAACTCACGCCTGTCTGTTGGTAGCATACTGAAGTCTGTGCATTGCAATGAAACAAGCACTGCATGTGTACATTGGACTCAATAAAAAAATACCCTATTTTTGAAACACTGAGGATGATTTTCCTCCAAATTTAATCTTTAAAATTTGGTTATCTTTTCAAAGTATTCGGTCTCTGATTTTTCCCCACCAACTGTATGAATGACCAATGTTTAGAAAATAGGAAAACCGGTAAGAGTCAGAAAGAATCACAGTTTTATAGCATTTCCCAACCTATCCTTTTCTCTGTCAGCTTTATTGATAGAGAGCACATTCACCTTCAGTTTAACTGTAAATATTAAAGTAAGGCAAAAGAGGAAAAGAATCTCAAGCAATCCCAGACATACAGATTCTTGCTGCTCTGTCACCTAAGAGGTGACATTGTCCTGCATGCTGTATTCTATTTCTTGAAGTCCCGTATTATCCCCAGGTATGTATTTCCATTTTTCATCTTTCACTATCCCTCCTCTCCTTTAAGATCAACAAATGTTTTTCTTCTACAGAATTCATCAGGGCTATTCTTTCCAGTGCTAGGGGCCCAATTCATACCTCTATGAAGTCAGTGAAAGGATATCTGTTGATTTAACAGATTTTATGCTAGGCCCAGATACTGCATATAAAAAAAAAAAAGACTACTACTAATTCTGCTATGCTGAGAGGTCAAACTACCTTCTGGGCTTTCACAGAATGCCTGCTAGGCTTTTTTTCTCCTTAGTTATATTACCTCAATCAGCATAATCTTGTAACAATATTATAACCCAGTAACTGCACTGCTGCATAAAGGACATGCTAAAGGGGTTTGCATTTTCCAGTCTTCCCCTCTATACCCAGAAAATATGCAATAAAAGCATTTTTAAAAATTAATCATACTACATCAACAAAAGCTCACAGATCATGTTTGAAATACACCATTGTGTCCATAAGTGAGCAAAGTCTTAAAGTAAAAACTGAACCTTGCCTAATCTCTATGTTATCTCTGCAATTTTCTTGGTAGAAGATGACCTACTCAGATTTTCCAATTACGCTCAAGATAGTTGGAGATCTAGATTCCAGCACAGGCACGCTGTTTGTCCTTGGATGAGTTACTTGGCCTTCAGTACACTTTTATTCCTCATCTGTAGACAAGCTCTGCCTTTTTTCACAAGGGTATTGTGAGGAAAGGCACACAGAATGAAGATCATGTGTTCAGACCCCATTCTAGTGGGCATTACACCAAGAAGCTATGATAACAGTATCTAAGCAGATAAGACTGGCTAAGATAACAGCTGGGGCTGCCCACTCTCCCCAGGCAGTGCATTATTTACAGCACAGAGCGCTGTACGCTGTGCATGTGTGGTACAAGTGATCTGTCACTTGTGATCTGAACAGTGCTAAGCTCCAAGTTCGCCTTGGGCTAATTAAGTGTCTGTGCTCTAAAGCCTGCAAGTGCACAGGCACACTTTGAGGCCATCCTCCCCCTTGCAGAAAGGGCTACATGCTAGACTAACCATTCCTCTGAGAAGCTGCTCAGGCCCTTCCTGTCGGACCCTTACACTCGCCACTCCTCACATCTTCTGCACCACCAAGCCCAACAGGGCTGCCTATGAAGCAACTAGTGATGCTGAACTGGGGTTTGGTTTTCGATTCCTGGACCTAATTTCCTCTTCGCATGACCATCAGGGACTGCACTGCCAGGGCTGCTGAAGGAAGCATGCTTAGGCTCTCAATAGTCACTTCAGCTCACCCCACAGTGACCCTCACTGAGGCTAGCAACTGTCGCACTGATTGACCCAGTGCTGGGGGCAGACAGGGCCTGCCTCATCCTCTGATGACTAAAGAAAATTCACCATGACCTTGGTTCTCAAGGGAGGAAAAAGAAAATTTGGCAAGGGAGAATCTTCTACAGATGCCCTCTTTTAAAACAAATAAAACAATACCTTAAACATTATTTTTGGATATACAAAATATCCTGGAAGTGCTATTAGACCAGTCAGAAGAAAACCAACCATAAAGCTAGCTCTCTCCTAACTGCTTCCCTCGGAGTCCTCCTGTCGCCACGAATGTGTATTTTCAGAAGCATAATGACAGGGAACCAAGTATTAGCACGCATCACATGGTGGTGTCTGCTAGTGCTGCTCTATTTCCAGCTGTGTCAGCATTCCCCTTAGCATCCCTCATGGTGCCTCAGAAACATACATGCAAATCCTGTGGTGGTTCCTGCTGCATGATTAACTTCACCCTATGATACGATGTTCCTCCCTCTATCCCTCCCATGTGAGGTCCCACTAGCTACCAAGGCTTGGAGTCATCTTGTCTAACCATCAGCTACCTAAAATTTAGGCACTTTGTATGAATTAGGCATCCTCTCTAATCAAACACCAAGAACGGGCACCTCCAGAACAGCTCAGCCCATCCTAAAATAACTGTCTACAACTGATGGGCTGAATTACACTTTGGTGGTTCCTGTCTCTCTCCATTGACAATCAAGGGAGCAAGAAAGACTCAACACCTCATTTTAATCTGTTTAAAATTAAACTAAATTAATCCCACCCCACTTCTTTCCTCTTGGGACTATCATGTTTCACCTCTTAGACTCACTTTACAGATTAGCAACAAACCAAGGAAAGCCTCCTTGCTTCTGGCAGCCTGTGCAGCGTGCTGCCATGGTCAACCAGGACTGTTTGTCCACATGGAGCAGAAATATCTTATCTCCTTGTCTCCTTTGCAGTTTCCTGAAATAGGTCTGGGCCATTCTCAGAACGCACTGCAGCATCACAGAACATGCAGGGGTTATATCAGTCCTGTGCAGATTTCTGACATGTGATCTTGAAATATTCTTAGGTTTTTTGAGAAAACAGTTGGGGGAGGTGGAGGTTGCTTGAAAAACACAAGGTCTTTCCAGACAACAAATGTGAACGCTAGAAAGCCTGGCACTGTTCTGTGCCTGTGGGCTGACCTTGTGCTCCAGTCCAGGCCCCAAGCTAGTTTAGTTGTGAAATTCAGCAACAAGGTCAGGAGTGTTAGTGAGAGCAAGAATCAGCCACAGCAAAATCCAAGGAACCCATGAAAGAAATACAAAGATTGTTTGTTGCTTTTTAAGGCTCTCAGTGCTTTCCACAGGCAATTCAGTACGCACTGATCGACTAAATGGCTTGTTTATTTTTCATCTGCAGGTGCAGACGGGTTTATAGGTGGCCAAAAAACACTGACATGTTAGTTTTATCTTCAGAGTTGTTCCCATGCAGCTGTGCAGAGCCATAGGCCTCCTTAGTTTTCTTTTCAGCAGGACGACGGTCAGCTTTCATCAGGGCAAGCAAGGGAGAGATTTGCTGTGTCATTCTGAGCTTCCCCACTGTATGGAGCTGAATCTCTCTTTATACTTAAGTCTCTAAGCTCAGCAGAAAGACAGCAGGGTTTCAAAGAAGACACTTGGTTTGTTTACCAAGAACTATGTCCTCTGGACATTCCAGTTCTACTGGGCACTTTGACTGCTTCAGGTTCCTTCCTGCCAAAGGTCACAGTTAAATGTGCAATGCAACATCTCACCAGCCCACCATCTATGTAGCAGGCATAGAGGCAGTTCGACCAACACACGATTTTCCCTTTAAAATCACTCTTGCTTTTGTTGGACACGTAGCTTCCTAACAAAGCACTGTGGAACTGCTCCAGCAAAAAGGCAATTGTTCTCCTGGGGTCTCTGAACAAGGACATTGCAGATTACTGCAGTATCTGCTGTAAACGCTCTGGTCCTGTGCTGCAGAATAACCCAATGGAAACAGCCAGGACAGGCTCAGGCATCTCATTTAATGATTGACACAATGGTGTCTATTGACAGTAGAGCGGCTGCTGTTCCCACTCAACATGCTCACCTTGCCTGGGCTTATGCTCCTCCCCGTGCCAGCAGACACATAGAAGCCTTTTCTGTTTGAAGCAAGGACACTGCTGCAGGCTCTTGGGTCAGAGGAGGAATGCTTAATGCTGTTCCAGAGATCTCTGACATGGCAGCTTGCTGGCTGGCAATGGGGCAGGCTGCATCATGCATTAGGAGAGAGGCTAGCACTACAGTTGGTAAAGGGCAGTAATTCATTTTGGGGACTACTGATACTCTAGATCACCACTGGACCCTCTTCATGGTCATATGTTAGACAGGAAGCACCGAATTCTTGGAATTGAGTAAAAGGGAAAGTAGGGGTCCTAGACAGACCAGGATGAAACCAGAAAAAGAAAAGTTGATGAAGCCATGCAGCATGTGGACGTCAAGTAGTTTTCTGAAGTGGGGTACACTTGCTGAGCTGGAGAGTGACAACAATGGACAAGAACAGCACAGAGTGCTGCAAGCCTGATGAAGCCAGGAACAGTCAAAAAAAAAAAGGGGGAAAAAAGGAAAGAAAAAAAAAAAAAGAGTGGCAGCATTGTCTCACTGCTGCCAACATAGCCAGTTGCCTTTTTTACAAATATAAGTTAATCAACAAATGTATGCTTCCTTCTGAATCTTAAAAAGGTATTTTTCAGATTAAGGACATTAGTAAGCCCAGCACCTCATGCCCTCTTATTCAAAGTGCAAGCATTCCACTCTAGTGGAAGAGCCACGCCAGGACCAGATTTGGCTACGTGTGCGGTTTTGCGACGGCTTATGAAACGGGCTTTGCATCTCCTCCTCCCAGCTTTCGTGCTCAACTACAAACTGCCTTATAAAGAGAGTTACTGTTACAAGGCAGGCAAGTGACTGTTTTCTTCTGAACCTTTACTTGGTCTAATGTTTCAGATTTCTGCAGTCTCTGCCAAGCTTTTCCATTCCCTTTTTTTTTTTTCTTAAGACATAAACCAGTCTTATGACTGGAATGGCATAGCCAATAAAAACAATCTAGGGCTGATTTTTAGCTTTACATAACGAGGGGTCAGTTTAACAAAAAACCTAAGTCCAAAGCAGCAGGTTGACTGCAGTTTGTGCTGCAAAGAATCAGAGCTCTGAAGAGAGGAACTAGAGAAACTAAGAACCAGTGTAGGAGATCTACCTCTTTTCACCTCTGAGTCAATACTTTACTTCTGAGCTGATGATATTTGAAAGCTACAGTGTTTGGTTAAGCTTTATATAAAGGCTTCACTATAAAAGTTTCATTTGTTCTGTACATGGACAAAAATGCTATGATTCTAACTGGTGGTTACAAAGAATGCAAGGAAAGAAGAGACAAAAGACCACTCTCCCAAGGCTAGCAGACCCTCTACCACCACCACATCTTGAATTTACTGAAAGTGTGGCATGGAAAAGTTTACATTTCCACAGTCTAACACTGTGTATGTTGAACACAAACAGGACTCTAGTATCTAGAGAAGCCCATTTGGTACCTTTTACTATCAGAAATTTTAAAAATAAAGGAAGAATTCAGGTATTCAGCATTGCATGTCAAGAACGACCTCTTCCTGCTCCTTTCCCCTCTCCAGGCAAATTTCTGTCAATTGCTGGCTGTCTTCCATTCTGGCTGACCAACACAAAAAAGTTGAGGTGCTGTTATTTGAAGTATGCAAACTCTGTTCGTTATTACATGATAATTAGAATCATTATCATATCTATAAGCTTATGTGAAATGTCTGGAAACATACCTTTGTCTGCTTGACTGTGTATCGCATCGTTCCAAAAGGTCCATCTTTCATGAGCTTCTTCCCCACAACTTTAGCTCGGATCACTGTCATAAGAGAGGAAAAATACAAGAAATTATAAACAACTTCACAAAACATTTAGGTAGACCCTGCACTTCAAAAAAGCCACTTAGATAAATTATTCTGCAAAACAAAATCCAAGTCAACCCTCCTCTTACTTTATTCTAAATCTCACACAACAAGGCATGTAAAATGGGATGCCAAAGCAAGTATTTCTTTAGAGGAAATCCAGTTCTGTGTGAAGAATAAGAACAAGCATTATTTATGTTGAAATCTCACTGAAATCTGCAAAGTAGACTATAGCTGAGACCAAGACAGGTTAAAACCTTTGCACCAAGCCACTGGGATAAAGTTTGTATTTAATGTCTCAACATACAGAATTATGTTCAACAAGATACTACTTTTACATTGTTCCTTGGGTGCCCAACGGAGCTTCTGTTTCCCAGTAACCATAACACTACAGTACAGCACACTGGAATATCCCCTATCTGGGGATTTCACTACAGCTGCCACCTTTCAGATACCATGAAACTCCCAATAAATGGCTCCCTTGAGCTACTGTGCAAAAGCAGATTGTTCAGCAACCATCAAGTCCACAGTGAAAGCTGCCAGGCCAGCCAGAAGCCACCTGGAAGACAAACTAAAAGCTGACCCATCAGACCTTGCATACACTGCACTTCATTTCTTCATGGATTCTAAGGGGCAGCGTGTGTGCATGCGTGCACACAGCATCCAGCCTGACACGGATACCTCCACTGTACCACAGACACACCACACCAATGCCAACTGAGACCAAGCCATCACAGATAAGGATTTTTGAGGTCCCTCAGATGGATCTAACAGGTAGTTTACCGTCACTGCTTAATGAAGAGTTCTCCTGCTCATCTATTTTTTGGGGCATTCCACACAAAAACACTACTGTTCATCAGTCCTCTTTGAGAAAGTTCTGCAATCACCTGCTCATGTCAGTAGAGGAGCAAAGCTTAGTGACAGGTTAGGCACTGTTCAGCTAAAGACCACTACCCTAGAACAATAATACCATGTTATACAAGCATCAGAAGTGACTTAATTTTTGGAAGGGCTGCATAAATTGACATTGGAGAAGGCCAATCCTAGGAAGAATAAGGATCACTGTTACAAAATCCCATAGCCCAAACACTGCTCATACAAACAGCAGGACAAAAAATAAACCAAGGAATTCAAAATTCCATCAATCAAGAGAAACACCAAAACAACAATATAACCGTGCAAATCTTACCTAAAATATTATTCATCAAGCTTCTTATTATAAGGGCTATGAAAATTATTCCAGTAGAATAATCCAAAGAATGCAACGTACTCATATCATGATTGACAACGTATAGTTATGCATAAATCCCCCAGAAACCTCTTTTTTTGTGGAAGAGGAGATACCAGCTACTTTTGTATAAAGCTTATATTGGTACGCCATTGCAAACAACGCACTTCTGCTGAATATATGGCCCAATGGTTCCAGACTACTGAAATCCAGCAACTAAAACAGGCCACATACATGGTTTCCTCTAAGCCTACAAAGGTCCTGAACATAACTCCCTGCACAGAACAGAGATACTGCTTTCACAGAATTTCATCTGTGTTTTGCTGAATCTATCATCTTAATTCATCACAGAAAACAAGTCATTAAAAAGCAGGAAGGCATGGAAGGGAGACAAAGAGGTGGAGGTACTCCTTTGCAAGCAAGAAAACCCAACGAGTTGTTACTTGCATTACAGCACTATCTAAAAGTAGCAACAAAGCTCAAGGACCCATTTTGCTATGTATATATAAGACATTAAACAAGCACCTTGCTGCTTCTTAGCTCATTTAGGTTTCAAACAGCTGTAGAAGCCCACTGAAATAAATATGAAAAGGAAGAGGCTAAGTTTTTGTTTGCTACCTAGACCAAATTACGAGGCAAAAAGCTTGTCCCAGCTTTCTGAAGAACATATTTAAAGGAAGAGATAGGTCTGGTTATACACATCAGTCCCTGGAACCTGTGCATAAGGATGGTGTGAAATGAAGACAAACTCACTCTGCTCCGATTTATATCCTGTGCTTCAGCCAGACTTGTCAAATAAATTTTAAACTAGGTAAGACAGTCCTGCTGGCTTTGATTCAAAGCACCAACAAAACATTCATTCATTGAGTGTAAAATTTCATTCTTAATTTTTTTTCCAAATCTCTATTATCCAATGGCAGTAAAAGCCAGCAATTTTATTGATTCTTCTATTTAACGAGTTGTCCAGACTTTGATGTACTCAAAATTTAGCAGCCATAATGAATGATGTCCTTAAGGACTGCAAGTATCTTTAAAGAACTAGGTTCTTCCATTTGCTGCCCCCAACCACCAGTGAAGCTACAAAACCCAGACTGCCTAAGGGTCAATGAGAAAGAACAGAATTTGATGATTAGAATGATTAGATGATCTCTGAGGTCCCTTCCAGCCTATGCCATTCTATGATTCTATGATTCTTTAAGGCTTTCTGAATTCCAAGGCACTTCACTAATGCTGGAGTCTATAGCAAAGGGTGTCAAAAGTCTTATCTTCATCTACTGCATATCTGATATGCTGAAATTGAAAAACCTGGTGTTTGCCCAACGCATCCGAAATCAACAACAAAATCTTTTATCTTATTGACAATGATAAGAAACACAGTAAAAGGCAATATTGCAAACCGCTAGCATTTCCAAACCAGAACATGGTTAGCATAAAATACAACAGGCACAGTCCCAACTGCTGACATAATATCTAAAACCCCATTTTCTTCATGAACTCCACTGCTAGCTTGGCAGCCCTTCAACTTTAGTTAGAGTAGCACAGCCACTTCAGAAAGAAATCAGCTTTGATTTATGGACTAATCGACAGCTTCTCCACAGGACCAAAGGTTCAAAACGCACATCTACACTAGCACATAACAGCATCTCAATTTCAGCTAATGCTACCCTTGCAAGCAGGTGGACGGAGCTGTATTTTCGTATTATTGTTCCCCAGTAAAGTCAGAGAAGAACAACCATCCTAGCAAATTCACATGGTAAAAACCATGAAAAACTGCAGCGTGGGCCGTCACTTCAAGCCTCTTGTAAAAGGGTCAAGCCCAGAGAAGTTGCCTCTATCACCCAAATGGTAACTTTTCTAGGTAAGTTCCTTCCTTTACCAAAAAGCTAGGAATGAACAAAGAACCCACCCTGCCTCATTTTTCTCACATTAAAGGAAAAGTCACGCAAGAAGCAGAGAATACTCCAACTTAAGCCTACCTCCTGTATTTCATGAGGCTGAATTCCCACTGCTTGAGGATTAAATGCATCTGGGTGACAAGAGAAATGCCGGATGGACAGGACTGCTCAGAGGTTGTTCTTGCATGTCCAGCTTCACCACCCTAAGCCTCCACGCACGAGAGCCACTTGTAAATCTGCTAGGACAGAGCTCTAAGCTGCAGATCTGCAGCCACATGTTTCCCAGCTCCTATCTTTGCTCCTTCAAACCACTGCTCACCAGTTATACTGCTGCACCACTCTTCACACCTGGTCAGAAGAGAAGGAACTTTGTTCCTAACTGAGTGGAGGTCATGCATATTTCCCAGAGGAATTTTTCACCCTCTGCAAATTATCAGAAGTTTACAGTATTTCTGCTGCAAATTCAGTCCGTGTTATGGTAACGAAGTCAACTGTTTACTTCTGGGGACTGCCACTGCTTGAGCAGAATGAGGCAAAAGGTGCTGTGACTGCTCCCCTGCACTCCTTCCTTCTCCCTGAAGCTCTATTACAGTCCTGCTAATACTGATGGGAAACTTTATCCCACACAAGTGGTCACCAAAATAGCTGCATATTTTTAAACCACAGTTCCTTTGAAGTACTGCCTATGAAAATACTCCGAGATGAATGTTTCTCAGTACTTTGGGGCTTCAGGTCGGGTCACTTTGTGGGACTGGAGCAGTTGGCAAGGTCTCATGAGTGATTTGTAATTATTTATTAAAAGTTACATTAGATGAGGATATAAATCTCGATAAGATAAGCATGGCAGCCATACTGTGAGTCAAAGAGGAGAAAATACACACGCTGCTTCTCAACATTTGACATGATTAAAAAAATGAGGGAGAGAACAGAGATAAAGAAAACCGGATATTTACTGGCTATTCTTTAAAAAAAAAAAAAAAATAACAACCTGCTGTGTTTGAGGATTCAAGAAATACATCCAACGATGCATTGCAAATGATTAATGTAAGAATTATCTCTTTTCTCTTGCCTTTTTTTTTAATGTAAACTAGCTTAGTGCTTAAGAAAACAGAGATGGCTCAGATTTGCCACAGGACCAGTATAGTGCAAGCTGCTAATGGTTTGTATTTCACTGGCATCTCTAGCGTGGTACAAGCGGTCTGCATGTGTACATATACACACAAATACACACAAAAAATCACTTAGATATTTTCCAAATGTCACTGGATGAGGTCTTGCAAAGGCAAACAAATCAGAACGGGCATAGGAGAAAAAGGCTCTATATGCACTTTTATTTGCCCAAATGCACACATATCTAACTCAAGTACTCTTTAACTTTATCCCTTACTCTGTGGCCGTTTTCTCAAGGATTCCTAGGAAGAATAGGCCTAAACGTAAGATACGAAGCAGAAGAGGATACTGGCTTTACAGCTGAGATAAGAGAAGACTCTTTTCACGAGGCAAGGAGTAGACAAACAGGCAATGACCGATGTGAGGGAAGTGAACATGTGAGATTAGGTCAGGCATTTGCCAAGCTGAGGAAACACGGTGAAAAGACTTGTAATTACCAAGTCATTTCATCCAGGCACCCACTAGCTACTACAGGTGTAGCAGCTATTTTTCCCAACTGAAAAATGAAGGCATTAACTGTCTTCGTTCAATCCAGCCGGTGTCCTTTATCGGGGGCAGCCACTAGATGGTGGCACTATCACAACTCTCACCTTATGGTCGTGAGAGGGCAGTGGTACATGCACCAGATGACACCATGAATCCCACCCAGTTGCATGCCCAACTGCACCATG